TTTCATAATTAAAAATCTGCTGTAGCGAGCATTTTCGTGGTGGTTTCTTCTTTCATACAGTTCAAAATAGACTTTGCCTGTGCCAGAGGAATATGAAGACGTGTACATCAAGATTGATTGCCTTATTTAGTGGAAGTATAAATAAAGGCTGCTGTTGATATTTAAAAAATATATATAAGACTACTGTATATATTATATATATATACAAGATTTATCAATATACTGCTAGGTACAGTATTTCTTTGATATGGACATACGTCAAAACAATGAGTTGTACATAGTACATAAAACATTAATATATCTACTTTGTTTGCTTTTCAACTCCAAAGATTTTCACTTCAAAGTAAGCTGTAAGCTGTTATATGTTACGTTCCTTCCTTATATAAATAAATAGTACAATTAGAACCTTAATTGTTTTCTGCTGGCTAATACGAAGCTACACTTCCAGTTTTTTCATCGTAGTAGTTTTATTTGACATGTTATAGAAATAATTCCCGCTGTAGCGTGCAGAATCGGCCACAAAGACGAATGATGTGCGAGTGTGAAATGTACAATTTATTTATTATGTCTTTTTCCAAGCAAACTGAATTTCATGTCTAAATACATATTATATTATCAAGAGTTATTCTGATGTCACATTCTCTAATTCAAGTTGGATTCAATCATATTTTTAAAACAAAGCTGTATCAGCATTAACGTAAAAAACTTTCATTATTCCAAGTAGTTATTATAAGTATTCAAATATGTCAACATTTTGAAAAGAGAAAAGGAAAGTTCCGAGCAGTTGGTCCAACTGAATGGGATATCAACTACATAGTATTTTTAGAAATACAAAAATTTCAGTCACAAAACAAGTGCTGTAAAGCAGTAATAATTCAAGTACTATACTTCTTGTCAGTGCGAGCACCTGACTTTGAAAACTTCCGTTCCTTAATTTCGAATTTCGTGTGCCTGATATTTAATCATTTTTAACACAAAATATTTGTGAGCACATCACAAGAAACGTCATATTCTGTTCATTTAGAGGTCCCATGGGTCCAAGGACAAAAGTTAATTTGGTTATTATTATATCGCATCATAGTCTTTTAGAAATTTATGGTGCTCTGCAGACACTTTAAATTTCATAAATGTAATTGAATCGAAAGAAACATTGTATTTGTTTACTTTTTCATTTAATATTAACTAATATGGTTCTAGATAATATAAACCTATTCAGGGGATGACTATGTAGTTGCTAACCTCATTACCAGCCATTTATGCTTCAAAATAAACAAGATTTAGAAAACTGTATTAAGTTGAATACACTGCATATTTGAATACTGTATGGAATGATGTGAGTTACGTGTTACTGTTATTGTTAATGAGTGTTCATAGTCTGTCCTGTTGTTGATCCTGCAAACATGTAAAGATGGCGCTGTTTCCTTCACTATGAAGTGACACTTAACACAATGCCGCGAGATGAAAGAAAATTTAATTTTCTTTCCGCAGAAGGAACTTCCACTGTTGCGAGGCAACTGGAAGCTTCCAAGAAACAGTACCAATAACGTTTCAGACAAGAATAATTTGTTTACTGAAATGTAACTTAGCGTTTGTTTAATCAGCAAATATTTGCTACGAGTAAAATGAAAAAATATGATAAAAACTGCCAGCTAAGTTCCGAACAATATAATATCTTCACAAAGCTTCATGAAATGTACTTTGTTACAAATCGTCATTAATATTTCTTCTATGATACAATACTTCACAGAAATTCTTAATTCTTAGAAAGGGTTTCTCATGTTACATAGCTTAACAAGGATATCCGACACTTCTCTCAAATTTCATGCAGATTTCTTCCTTATGGTATTTAATGATACTGGGGATACTGGGAACGACCTGTTCTTCAAGTGCCTGAGCACTGCGGGTCCCAACTTTTTCGTTGGCTAGATCTATGGACATTCGGTAGGACTCCTTGGACGAGGGATCGGCCTGTCGCAAGGCCTCTACCTGTACACAGGACAGCACAACACAGAAAAACGCGGACAAATATCCGTGACTTGAGTGGGATTCGAACCCACTGTCCCAGCGACCGCGCGGCCACTACGGACCCCATTTAATGATACAGGAATGAGAAGTGTTCATGTATGTTCAATTACCCTCAATCTGCACTATCTTCTACCATCAGTAATCGAGGCATCACAGATCAGCTGGCTGTGATAATATCGAAGTGCCCATTCGGATAAATGCGTGTGTGTGATCGTAACAAACCATTGGTTCATTAAATAAAAATATTAATAATAATACCCTCGATCAATAGCAAGAAAATCATTTGTTTTGTTAAGTTTCACACTAAAATATTTTTCTTTGTATAGCATTGTGTTACGTATTTTCACAGTGAAAGAAAATGGCTGAAGAAGCAGCTAATATATAGAATGATTGGGGAATGTGTTGCTATATGACTGATAAGGTTGAGTGAAAAAAGAGGTTTATAAATTCTTTTCAAACAAGAAAATATATTTGCTTTATGAAGCTTGTTGCATCCAAGACCAGTAACTGTTAAATTCTGTTTGTACTCCCCCTCCATAATGTTTTGTATGTTCCCTACAGTGTGGAGGTTAGGATATTATTAACCTGAGCTGGGGAATCTCACTGAAAATGGACGGGTACGGGATGGGGGAGCAATGAGTGTTATTTGCAAGTTTTCTTCGCAACCAAATTTCCAGAAATTGTTGGAAACATTTGTAAATAAAGAGAATACTTTTTATCAATCACTTCACTCAAAACTGAGTTATTTATAATCCTTACAATTCCAGTTCCTATAAAACACCATAGATAACAGTCGAAAGTGTCCATTAATCCCATGATTCAATCTCAGTCCAAGAAATGACTGACTGCCCCCCTCCCCCCTCAATTCCTTCCCAGAAAATGCTACGAAATAAAATCCTGTTCTGTCAACTATTCAGCCTTAATTGTCTCAATATTTATTACGTATTCTTGGTTACTGATACAGCATTCCTAAATTCAGAACAGCAATTTTTAACACACTGTGACTTCAGGCAGGCCTGTAAACTGACATTCACTTTATTGGTTCATGATAAAATGCACGTAAAATTAATGTGTCGTGAGACAGTAATGTTTGTTCAAGCATGTGCACAAAACATGTCTTGTTGATATTACCGAGTGTCGAGAGTAAAAATTGAGTTTACAGCAGTTGCCTACGGCATAACGACCAAACCAAATTCAATAAATTTCACTTCTGCCATAAAGAAAATCCGTGACCGATCGGCGAGTTTCAATCCACTATGTACGCTTCTAACAAGCCCGGACAGGGGCAAAGGATTTTTCCTCTACTGTCTACATCCAAACCGGTTCTGTGGCGCACCCAGCCTCTTATCCAACGGGTACCAAGGTCCTTTCCCTGGCTTAAAGCGCGGTAGGGGCGTGACGCTGACCACTCACCCCCCATCTAATGGGGCAACTTTACTTTTATTTCACCCTTCTAATGGGTACTACACTGCTTAACACCATTCTTTCAAACGCATACGAACATGAGTACCTTGGGTGACCATCGAAGTACCTCCGCGTCTCCTTTGCAAAACTTAACCTTACTGACGACCACCTCAAATAATAACAAAAAAATGAAGACCACAACGAACAGCGTTGTGGTTTCCTCCCAACGTTATGTTCGATGTCAAGACGAATTAAATCCGTGGTCGAGTCTCACGGATTTTGGATATATTACAAAAGATGCCAGGTCTTGAAAGTAGCCCTTTCAATGACTAACATACTAATTCGTATTTTCTATAAGCAGCACGTTTTCTTCACGAAAAAAGAACGCTTCTGAAATATGTGCTACTGTAAATAAAATTATTTGTGTGCAGTCAGATTCGAACATTCAACAATTGAAATCAGAATAAAATGAACAAATAAAAAAATACCCTCTTTCTCTCAACTGTAGTCTCGCCAATGCAACACAAGGAACCTAACACAGTGATAATATATTGGTAAATTTTTCTTGCCGACTACATGTTACTGGATTTGGATTTGCCTCGAATGACGTAACGTCCAAAATAGATTTAATGCAAATTTATGAAGCCAATAAACAGGACACGAACGAGTCCACGCGGTGTTCTTTGCGAATGTTAATGCGTAAATTAAGTCTTATACAGGCCTTTTCAAAATAACTCTTACTTCAAACAAGTAAACAGTGTTAATTGAAACATACAGCATCGTTACAACTCACGAAGTCCAGCAGAACGCTGGTGTATAAATCTAAAAGTCGTAGACTGGCATCAATTGAAATAAACAAACACTGGTATTAATTATCAGTAAAGGAATACTTCTCGCTTCCTAAGTCTGCCGCCTTTCAATAGCCGAGAGTCCACTCAGTCTACCCAACCTGTTCAGCAAGTCATTTGCGTCTTTAGAGCCAGGTGTACCCCACCCCAAGGCAACTACATCACGCAGCAACTAAACAACACGTGTACAGTCTAATGACGTAATGCAAGACTACGAATCCCACCCGCGACTGCAACGAATCTTGAGGGAAGGTTGGGAACTGAACCGACTCAAATCGGCATCCTGAGAGTTTAATTCCCGTCCATTAGTACATCTGGCTACGAAAAAGGAACATCTAAAAGAAATAAACATTTTTTTCGTTCAATTAACTGAACAGGAACCGTTCTTATACAAATTTGGCGTCGATTATTCTAGGCAAGATAATGCTGACCTTGTGTGATGCAGGATTACGGAGGAAATTAAAAAGAACATTACGTTCGTTTTCATTAGAGGATTTACATATAATTTATTTATATAAGCACCGTTACCGTCCTTTATCTCGATTAGCCATAGCAGTATGAATTATGGGAAGTTAAACAATGATTCCATCCATACACACACATTCGATCTCAATTGAGACCCTTTCCTACACATTACAATGCGGATATCACAAGTTATATACCACCGTGTGAAATTACATGAAACTTCAACTAATTAATCAACATGAAAAGTAATTAACTTACCAAAGCAGTATGTGTAAGAGACTATCAGAAGATCGTCTGGTAGGAACAAATTTCGATCGCTGTCACACTACAGTTCGATTAACTATTCACGTGCTTACAAACGTTATGGCTAACAGTAGAACGATGTATAAGTAACAATTTAAAACAAACAAACATTACTTTATTTGAAAAGGGACCCACTCCACATATTTAACAACAGTTTCGATGTATCACTCCACACTATAACTGCCGAAAACCACCAATTAAATATCCACTTCCACACAAACTGCACAAGTTTACTCCCGAGTTCCGAGAACACGCGGCACAGACTAATGACTCGCAGAAAAGCAGTTACAATCAGAACAAGTGGCGCTCTCGACACTGTTCCTTTGATTTACAGCAATCTGATCGATGACCAGGGCCACATTTCATGCGAATTTAACTACAAACACATGCATTAGTAATTTATTTTCGATAGTATCGCAGGCGATATAAAGTACGTGTCCCTCTTCAACATACGATTCATTCATTAAATCTTACATCTTATTCGCAAAAGAAACGTGTACATTGTAATATAACCTACATATTTTCCAGTGTTACCACTAAGATGATTGAACGTGCCCGTGAAATGTAATTTCATTTATACCGATTCTATTGTTTGTTGTAATTGATTTTTGGCAGAAAAACACTGGCTATGGCTGGGCGATCAGGGTTTGATCCCAAACAGAGGCAGAGGATTTTCCTCTAACCTCCTGGGGTCAAGTGCGGCCTCGGCATCCTCTGATCACTCACCATTAAAGTACAAATTACCATTTCAAGAAAAAATGAATGGAATGGAATAATCTCGTAAGACAGGATAAAACAAAATGAATATGACTATGATTTGCCAAACATTTCATTACTGAGTTTACATACGCTACACAACATACATATTTAAATATAAGTTTGAATATAGAATTATGATGAAATTCTGATCTAATCAGATTCCAATAAGACATATATAACTGTAATTACAAAAGTATTATAATCTTTGGCATCAACTAAAATTCACACAGGCAGAGATATACTAGAAAGATATACAGCATGTTTAAGCCAGACAGATTTAATTATATTTACTACGTAGTCATTTCAATTCAATGACCTTAAATTACTATAATTTATAAAGGGGCTAATAAGAATGTTGATAAATATATTATCATACACAGAACACTCCATTCTAGAAACAAAGACGTCACCACTGAAAGTGCCAAGGATGGATGGTTACATTTTTAAATTTCTTTTCCCCACAAAAGCAAGCCAGTTAATGGAACTTGAATTATGCATTTTTATCTTATTCTATCTTACATTATTTAACTTCTTAACACTCACATATTTTTATCTTTTAAATAGAAAGTGTCATACCATTGCATACTCCCAGACCCAAGAATACAAATTATTAAATTTATTAGCATATCTGATAAAACTTAGATAAACCAATGGAACAGCTTCACAGCGAAATAAATGGTTTTCCAAATTTTTATTACGAAGTTAAATATGCGTACTCATGTCATACTAATTTGCGTATCTAGCGGTAAACTGGCGAACATTTACCCTTTCATGACATCTCGATGGCCGTGCAGTTACAGATGACGACGCATTGAAAATTCCACTAACTCTGTCCTGTTGTTACAATCAGGTTCAAATATTACTCTGGTTACTTCAACAAAATCAGCCACTAGTCACATATTTCTTTATTATTCCTTCAAAATCCAGTTTAATTTCTGTTGTAATTCAATTTACCTTCTAGTACTGAACCGCGTACACAATAAGTCAGTCATGGTATGCTTGTATCAGATTATATATTTTTAACTACCATTTTAATTTAAGCAGCAACTATTTCTTCAGCACGCACGACAATAAAACTACAGAAATACACATGGCTGCATGTGGCCCATAGGTTGAAAACCCCCTTATTTAAGCATCTCAAAGATCTGATTCAAGTAATTGTACTAGGTAACAGGAATTTTTAAAATTAATCACAATTCACTGTCATGCCTAAATAATTATTTTGATCTATCTTAATGTATCATTTCTCACAAAGAATGACGTTGTTTCTAAAATTGAAAATTTGGACTGATAAAATGCCATTCCTACACAATTTCATACTAAAGTCCACTCAGCAAATAGCAATTCCGTAAAACAAGTATACAAAAACACTTAACACTTTTTTTTTACACATAATGAAAGCATGCAATTACATACATCATCATAAAGTCATCATCACTGATTGAAATGGAATATTACACATTGATTTCATCAATCTTCTACACCACATATTATTCAAACTATTTCTCTTCACTTCCCCTTACAGTATTCTTCAATGGTTTCTCAGTTTCATTCTACAATATAATTAAGGCAAGTTCGATAACTGTACAAACTACGACACGCGTACAAGCGTGCACAATACCATAACAGCTACACGATTCAAGTCAAATTTATTGACAGTTCTGCACACAAAATACATCTTATAAGAATGTAGGAAGGAGACACCAGGTGAACTTTTTTTTTTGGTACCATCGGGTCGGAGCCGACCCCTGGTGACATTATGAACAAGTTCCCTCTGATAGGGACCTCTTCATATGTTTCCTCGGCAAATGATCCAGAAGTGGTTTGCCGTTGCCTTCTTCGTGTAAATGACGATGAAAATGATGAATTGTTGGGATCCCACGGAGAAACCAGGGAAGCCCCGGAGGAAAACTCCCGTGATACCTGGACCACGGCCTTGCCCGACACAAGTTATAAACCTGGGTACCACTGGGAATCGAACCCGGGACCCCAGGATTACAAGCCCAGCAAGTGAACTATACATGTAAGATTTGAGGTTTTCACAGCGGAGAGTATGAAGATTTCTGTCTTCTGGGTTGTTGCGCTGTGTAGTCTGGTCGATGTTAACCAACGTTTCAGAGGTCATACTGCCTCCATCATCAGGGCAATGAATGAATGAATGAAATGCCCTGATGACGGATGCAGTATGACCTCTGAAACATTTGTTAACATCGACCAGACTACGCAGCGCAACAACCCAGAAGACAGAAATCATCTTAATTACAAGTTTCACCCAGTAAGTTGTACTTGAATCATGAAATATATTTCGACGTGATTCTCTCTCTTTAAAAATCAATATCACTCTGGATTATGATTTATCCTTTATTACTCAGTACAATGTCTGCCCACTGCAACATCTGACACAATTCTTTCAAGCATTCAATTGGATATCAGAGAGAACATTTAAAAAAAACACCTTTCTGAATAAGGAATAATATGGTCAAATACTCTTATTGCGTATTGACTTTTTGTCCATGGAAACATATATAGGTAGGGACTTTGCACCTCAATCTCTAAACTAAATGTGCATAAACATATGTTCTAGCGTACATAAGTTCATGGAGCGCACAGATCCAGAAGGTACCTTGTTGAAAAATTACGCAATTGTATGCAAACACTTATATAAAAACATTATGATGTTACAAATAAAAATTAAATACAAGTGGTAGTATTTACATTTAAAGTACACAAAATTACAATAATGTTATTTTTATTAAGCATAATTTACAGTAGCTTTGGTAATTGCCGTCCAATCATAAAATCAAACATGCTAAAATGCAATATAAGACTGCAGCACATTTTATGAAAGAGCGCATATTAAAAATGACTTTATGTTCAAAGACTTGACTGGCAAACAGTATTTACACTAAAATAATCTGAGTTAGCAACGAATAATGTTACGGGTGGTATCTTTAGAGTCCGAAAGACTAACCCAAGTATGATCATGTTACTCTGCAGCAGTGGCGATCTGAGCACTCGCAAATTATGTCTCCAAAAAGACGACGAGGAACACTGTGGTGTACTGCTTCACAGCACTGTCATGTTTGCGGAAATTCTTTAAAACATGTGAAAAGTAAAATTACGTTATTGATCTGTTCATTAATTACCATTACAGAAGCAGTTCACACTCTGTGATATTCTGAACTGAAATGTAAAATTTTAAAACAGGTGAAATTTCAGACACTTATGAAGTATACAGGGCATTGATAGTTAAAAGAGCTGACAGTGCTAACAACAACAACAACAACAGAAATAGTTAAAAGAGCTGACAGTGCTAACATCAACAACAACAGAAATTCCCAACATTTGGTCAAAACAAAATCAGATGATCAGGTTATGAAGACTCATCAGAAGAATTGTTTATTCTACTAATCCCCCCCCCCCCCCAAAAAAAAAAAAATTTAAAACTTCGCTGCATAAAGACCCATTTGTACTGTCCAGTTATGATAATTATTAACATGAGGCAAAAACATTGAAATTACATGACAGATCGTCTATAATTTAATCTAAAACACAAGATTAATTGCGCTCAATTAATGAAAATACGAACAGAACGGATAATTAAATGATTAATTTGGTAACAAAAATCTTCATAACAATTCACATTCAAATCACGTGTATTTATGTACATCTGAACTGAATTCTGAGATTCAAGGTTCTCAGAGCAGTGAAGATATCTTCTATGGTCTTACAGGTTGTGACACTTTGTAGTCTTGTTCTCTACCCTGAAGATGGAGGTGCTATATTCTTTTGAAACACCATCTATAAGGCTATACTACACCACAAGCCACAAGTCCACAATCAACATGCACTGATGCCTACTTTGTTTATGTTTTCTTTAATTAATACACTAATTACCGCGCCTAACAAAACTACTACGTATCGGTTTGACAGAATAACATTGGCTCGGAATTTTGGGAGGGGCTTATTATTGTAATAAATGAGGTCTATAAATTCAAACACATTAAAATGTCACAACACAACATCATGCACCATCTGCTCCTAAACATGTAATGAAAATTAGTCTTTATATTAGTATTACCATACACAATCACATTAACCATCCTTTGGTAACAAATATGTGTTATTTCCCACTTCTATCAGACATTATCTTTCTTCATAGCTGCTTCGTTTCGGTCCTAGCATCCACTTCTCGTCCACGTTACTTTCACATGTTCCAATGCATCATCCAGTTCCATATCTTCTTCACAGCCAGCACAACTAGATTTCACACCTGGAAGTAAATCGTAATTACATTCCTTAATCATTCCACTGTGGATGAAGCACATGATGTTTTAGAAAATCTGTAATTTCAAGTTTAATGCACCTGGAAATTGCATCAGGTGGTAACAGTCCCTTGTATTAGTTAATATGTGAGCCTGGTTTACAGGGAGGGGGGGAAAACAGCAGAATATTATGATAATAACCCAATATTTTGTTTGGCAAGCAGTTTGGAATTTTAATCATAATTCTTGCATCATCTTTTACCTCATGAATGACACCTTTTTATGTTGATAATAAAAGGTAAGTTTATAAAAGTTACAAACGCCATAGAAAAGTAAATATTTAACCCACGTCCAAAGCCACGCAGTTCAGCGATCGTATCATCTGGTAAGAGACATATGAAATACAAGCTTCATAATGCCAAGTATTAAGTGGAAGGAGGACTGCAAATCAATGAGTGCGTGCGTAGAAGCTCCAAATAGCCCCAAAATCTGATGAAGTTCAAATGTTACATCCTGTAACTTGGAAAACAACAGTCCATCATATTCTCAAAAACATTTAGTACTGGCAGATCATGTGTAATGACTCCCTTTTCCATAAGTTTATTAAAATGTTGAGGAACTGCAAACAAAATGATTAACGAAAATGAAGCGAATCGTGGCGTAAGAGACCTCTGAGAGCCAAAGCCGACTAGCTGGCTGCTGGCCTCACGTTCACATGCCAAAGCAGAGGTGAACGATCATCCAACCAGATATAGGGTGACGTGTGGTCGGCACGACAAACCCCCAGCCATTGCTAGTTTTCCTGACCGGATTACGCTACTCATTGTAGCTCCCCAATTTCCTCACGATGCTGGGTTGGCACCGGTCGAAAGCTCATGAGAAAATTTCTTCTCCCCCGAGACTCAAATCAGCGCGCATTCCGTATCGCCGGTCCGAAGCATTTTGCCTCAGACAGCGCGGGACAAAATGAAGCGATAGACCATTAAAATCATTATAGTAATGCAGGCAGGCTACTATAACCTTAAAATAAACTTACAGTTTCTCTTCTGAAGAGATGCTCATATATAAAAGTAGTTCTCATAATCCGCGTACGATGAACTGCTTAAACTTTTAGTTGGTGTCTCATTCATCAAGGAGCTCTGTTGTGATGTGGCTGGTTGACTTTGTCGGGAGGAACATGGTATAGATGGCAGCTCTGGAGTCCATGGGCCCTGTAAGTGCGGCAAGATGTAACAATAATAAAACCATAACGTTAAATATATGACAAAACTAAGTCACATTTCACCTGAAGATAATTTAGCCCTTGGTAGGTCACAAGCTCTGAAAGCAGGAGTGGCAGGGAGTACTTAATGTTCAATTCATGTTAATCTACACAGCAAAATGTTAGTTGCTCACTGAGAGTCTCTACAGTGAACTCATGAAAGTATAAATATGAAATCACTACTAACGCACAAGAGCCCGTATATCACCATCGACATTACGAGTACCACGATTCAGTAAATGCATAAAAAAGGACCCAACGAATATCAACAATTTCAAGAGAATAAAATAAACAATAATTTTGGCAGAGCAATTTGTAGTTATTTATTTTGTACGAATTATATTCCCGTACTTCCAAATCTTGTTCTAAATAAAATTTTAATTTGTATGGATTAATTTAGGAGATTATTAGTCATTCCAAAATATCTTTAAAAGTGTTAAAAGTATTTAGATTAAAACTCACCCAATTCACAATCATAAAACCATTACAAATTAGCTTTATGGAACAAAAAAATTGTTTTCCATTTATGTTCCATTACAAATAAGGTAATTTTCATCTTAAAAGGCTCAATGATGGTAAATAATTTTCTAGTCTGGCAAACAGTCTGCATAACTTCAGGAACAGCAACAGTTATTATCGTTATTTTAATTAACCTATCCCATGGGTTCTCTAAATGGGGGCAGACTGCTCAGTGCTCTTGTGCTTGATACTACAGAAAGTAGTGCCACTGATTAAATCTGATTTTTATGAGCAAGACGAGTACCTTTCTGCGAGGCCTGAAGTCCAGGTTGCGTCTGATGAGGAAGTGGAATTCATTGGGGATGGTCCAACAGTGCTGTACGTTGAGAGGGCAGTCATCAGGGTGCAGTTTACGTTGGTACTCCTGACTGCGGCACACCTCATACAAGGAGAACTGTTCAACACGTTCCTTGCTATTGTAGCAGTTGAGTAGGATCTGTATCAGCTCGTCCACTGTCGTGCGGTCCGAGATCAGAAGGCTCTTGTACTGGGACTACATAACAAGACATCAGTCGTCAATCAGCATCACATCAGTATTGCTTATATACTTAAAGCCTTGAATTCTCTTCCGAGTATAGCAAATAACAAATAAGACATGGATATCACATTCATCCCTTTGAGCTTAGTAGAATCAAGTATCAGTTACTCATTATTACAAATATATTTCATTGCATTCAGTCTGTGATTAGCTAAGTGTCTGTTCAGATTCAATGGTGAATTTAAGTGATACCAATTTAAGCAATTTTGGTAACTATGTACCTGTTTGTATTAAGGCTTATACGAGGTGCGATCGGAAAGTTTCAAGACTGCGCCTATCAAAACCCGTACACTTATCTCAGGTATTAAATTCATCCATCAACCTCGAAGTAGTTCCCCTGGGAGTGAACACAACGATCCCAGCGCCGCTGCCAAGCCTGGAAGCATCCCTGGAAATCTTTCTTTGTCAGCCTGTCAAGCACCATCTGCGATTCTGCCTGAATCTCTTCTATCGTCTCAAATCTCCTTCCCTTTAGCTGAATTTTCATCTTTGGGAAGAGGAAGAAGTCACACGGAGCTTAGAAAGGAAGTTGGGGTCGGTTCTTGCAAGATCTTTTAGCTCCTGACAAACGAGAAGTCGATTCTGCTTCTGGTCCTCAGACAGGTTGCGTCGCATGTGGAGTTCTTCCTTTAGAATCAGCTGACCGGTCCCATAGCCTATCCCAACAATGTCGACCAAGTCGTTGATGGTACGACGTCGATCTTCGTGAATGGCCTGCCGAATCTTGGTAACATTTTCGGGCGTTGTGCTCGGAGATGGTCGTCCAGAACGCTCGTCATCATGGACAGAGGTTCGGCCCTTTTTAAAACGTGAATGCCACACAAAAGTTTGTGCACGACCCATTGCGGACTCCCCAAATGCTTGCTTTAGCATTTCATAGGTTTCCGTAGCCGTTTTGGCGAGTCTTTGGCAAAATTTGATTTGTTCATGAAAATCCGCCATTCCGAAATCGCAGGAGGGTCGGTGTAATGCACTACCAAAACGCCCGTAACTAAGAAACAAATGCTAATTCGATGATGCCGGCTGGCACACTGATTCACTATGAATGTAGGCCGCACCCCCTAGCGGCAGAAGCTCGTACTACATCCGGTTCGCCCTATATTGACACAGTCTTGAAACTTTCCGATCGCACCTCGTACATTTTTGGTGATAAAATTCTTGTGAGCAGATTTCTAAATACCCAGTCCCTAATATTATCAACTTAACAACAAACTTTTAAGAGATTGGTGCTAAATAATACTACGTATTTCCTCAGATTCGTAGTTTACATTTTAGAAAGAGAGGTTATGTCACACATAATCTTGAGGATCCTGTGGCAAATAGAATTCTCGTACTTCAGAGGGACGAAATAACAATAAAGAGATGGTGTGAAAAAGAGGAACAGAGGAAAGGAAAGGTGAAAAAGGGGTCAGTTGTTTTTAACAGAACAGGCCACTCACCCCTGGCATGAGGACACTGTCGTATATCTTGACGAGGCCGCCACGTCGTGTCTGCAGCGATAAGCGAGAGTCACCTCGAGGGTGGCAAGACTGCAGGACTGCGGGACGTGCGTCCTCATCCAGCACAAGGACTGTCCTCACCCCTGCAACAAGAGAAGGATCTCCAGTCACCTTTCTATTAGGATATGTGATCAACAATTTTTGCACGTTTAAAAATTTGTTGCCTGCAGTTAATTTATAGACTTTGAAAACTATTAATGGAGATACAGTTTACCTTTTAATATGTAAACTAAAGTAGCCATGAACAAATTGCATGGTTCAAGGCCACCGGAAGGACTTCACCCCCTTACAGCGCCACTCAAAGTCAATAGTATGGCTTTACACATTCTTGGTCTGGCACTAAATGGAGGTAAGTGGCCAGCTTCACACTCAGGGAGAAAAAACCAAGTTATTTTTAAGGTTAATAAACTACGAGAACAGGAAGGAAAGCATTCAGACAGTACAATACTTGTTGGGGAAAGGCCCGGATCCTTGCCAGGGTACAAGTTCGTATTATTCACATCTCGGATGTCATACACGGTGTTCACCTGTAAGATCCCATTTCACACATTTACAGAACAACTTCAGCGCTTGTAACATCTTCCTCCTTGTCCGCCGGTCCTAGCACTCACCTGCTTTCCTGACAGTGACCTCCATGGTGAGGTAGAACAAATTAGGGTCACGATGACGCATGCGGTATTTGTTGAGGAGGGACGTCACAACCTCGCGACAGGTCGTCTGAAACGTGATGCTGAGAGTCTTGTACTCGATGTCCGGACGCAGACAACGAGCGTAGACCTTGATGGTCGTCTGCGAACAAAAACATAAGCTGTTGAAGCACAGACACAACATACGTGCAAACTCCTACTTCCTGGCATTATCCAGTGCCACTTGGAAATCATGTCGCAAGCTGAGATTAGTCTAGAATGAATCTCGTCACTGACAGATTCTTGTTCTTGGAACATAAAGAGAAATGCGGAAGAGAATGAATAATTAAATAAATGAAGGAAATACGCACAGAAAGGAGGGGTTTAAAGACATGATGACGAAATGAAGAAGAGAGAATAAATAAATTAAGAGGGCTTGAATTAAGAACAGTAAAGGAAATAAGGGAGATGAAAAAGGCTTACAAATGAAACAAAAGAAGCGATGAAACAAAAATTAAAAACACGCAAAAAGAAACTAAAACAGTTTTTAGTTTTTTTCAAGTTTCCAAATTAAATTTTGGTGCATTACTCCTTCGTCCGATTACGCAGCGGTTCCGAGGTCCAGAATCGTGGCCTAACTGTGTGAAGTCTAATGAACGCTATTAAAGGATCACCCAAAACTGTGTGAAGTCTAATGAACGCTATTCAAGGATCACTCAGTAGTACTACGTTCAACATTACGACCTACTTGAGCTGTAATTACAGGGAACACTGCCACTAATAAGATCCAAAAGGTCACTTAGAATTATGTTCTCAACTTGAGCAAATTAACCTCTGGGCTGACTTAACACAACTCGAGTAAATGAGCTCCGTGGGCCGGGGAAAATAGGTCGAAATTAATCCGCGAGTCCTAGCACACACCCGTTTCATGAAAACTCGGAACAAACTGCTGGAAACAAATATCTTCAAGAATGCTACCTTCTTGAATACACTATCGTTTGTAGATAAGAAGTAAAGTTGTCCCACTATACGTCACGCAGGCGCTTGGGGGGAGAGGAGATATAGCTCCTACTCATTTTTAACTTCGGCACTAGATGGGGGTGAGTGGTTAGCGTCACGCCCCGGAAAAGATCCACAGTACCCATTAGATAGGATGATGAGTGGGGCCCAGAGCCGGTCTGGATGCAGTAGACATCGAATACAATTCGAAATATCTAAGTCATGTTTCCACATCCTCGGGCAGAATTCGAAATTAAAACCTCCCAAACACTGGCACAAGGTGAACACAAATTGAGGTTCTTAATATTTATTTAACAAACTCTGAACGGCATACAGAAATGAGACTTACATGACTAAGAATAATAATTTGTAGCATGCGGGAAGAGTGACGTAATTTTAACGATGGCCACTGGGAGAGCACTGGCGACTATTTCGAGACAGAAAATTCGCATCCACACTCAAACGCCTGAGAAAGTGAAGAAATCTGTAAGAGATTTACTACGGATGCCCTCAAATCCGCATATTTATTTCGAATGAAAAAGGCGTAAATTCCGCAATCATAAAAAGAATCATCGTTGATATAAGAGGAAACTCGAATTTCTGTACGCCCGGTAAAAGCCAGAGAATGGCACGCGTGTAAGAAACCCCAGACTCTGGCAGACGTGTGACTAATCAATGTCAAGGAGTCCGTCAATGTCTGGAGCTGCCGAAATAGTCGTTTGTTCAGAATCTCGATCGACGCTAATTTGTCTTAGTCACTGTCCGAGGCATTACAACTGCAAACGGGAATCATGAATCTTAAACAGACTTAGCCTACCGTTTTCACCAAGCAGAGTCCTCCTTCATCATGAATCTTAAACAGACTTAGCCTAACGTTTTCACTAAGCAGAGTCCTCCTTAAACAGCTAATAGTACAATCTGCATGGACCCCTAAAGTTCATTACCATGTTCACAACAGCCCTCTAGTGATCCCTATCCCGAGACACATAAATCTAATACACGTCCTATTTCCCAAAGTTTAACGTCCCCCCCCCCCCATGTATGATCCTTTCCAACCAAAATTTTGTAAGAATTTCTCATACTGATATAATAAAGGAGTTTGTGTGAGAAATTATGTAAATTCAAAATTAAACGTTTTGGGGAAATCAAGAATAAACCTTTTTAGTATCTGAACTGGTGAATATTCCTCGACATTCTCATTTTATATCAATGCATTTACATGTGTTGCAAGTCAAAAATATAGTTACATTTATGTAGGTCCTTTTAATTTTACATAAACACTACAATAAGAAATGGACATATGTTGTTTTTTCCTTGAAAAATTCAGTAGAGGCAGAACAACAACACTACAATAAGAAATGGACATATGTTGGTTTTTCCTTGAAAAATTCAGAAGAGGCAGAAAAACAAACAGGCTATTTACAGGCTATATTTTAATCTAGACTAATGCGATTTTTGCCAAAATAATATTATTTCGTGATGAAAACAGGTTTAACCTCAAGACAGCAAAACTATTTAAGAATGGTCCATGTTGGACTAATGTAATTTTTCCTATAAACCCCTCAATTTTGAAGTTCTATGTCCTATTTTGTAAAACATCAATTCCTCGTACTGGCTTACACATGTTACGTTCCAACAAAGGCGTTTATTATGTTTCTATTCAGATGAAAACTGCAAGAAGGATGTAGTCTGATTCGAAATAAAATACCTATATTTTGGTACCATTTCGTAACATAGGAAAGGGCTCTGAAACGTCAAGGCACAAGTGCAATATGTTTACATGAAGTTGCCGGTACGATGAACTCGCAACTGCGAGAATTTTCTACGAAAGAAACGAGGTAGGGCTGCTTCAGATCAACAGAAAATCTGCCTAAAGAAATAGAAGAAAAAGTAGCAGTGAAATGAGTCTTTGTAAGCAGGAAGAGTCTTAATTGAATTCTGAGGAGAGAATTGGAGGGCAATGAAGAAACAAGCCATGTGTCTTTAATGTGCTTCTCTCATCTAAACGGATATAAAATCCTTGTGTTTCACAGTTCGTCAAAAAGAAATTCATCAATCCTGCCTTGCAGGCCACCTCAGAGATGTCTGAGGTTATGTAAGCTTAACAAACCGAACCGTTAACAGAGCGGAAGCATAAAAAAAACACTCACATACACGGGTTAAAAAAAACGTACAGAAATAAAATACTGAATACAACGAACCCCACTTCTCCAAATTGTGTTTCTTCACGAAAAATTAACTTCGGCGAGACTTAATAGCGATACAAAACAAATAACTGGATGGTTTTCAAACCAGTAGGATATCAGAGACCGCTTTGATACCAAGTAAGAAGCATTTTGTTGTTACTGATTTGAAAGTGGTTTTCAATCCATGTGCCTCGATACCTCTATGCCTCTACCTTACCAAGTTAAGTAATTAAGAAGCAAGACTGACTTACTATACATAACCTACGCAACGAAATTAATTTGACTCTTCAAGAAAGTGGCCTTTGATTTCCTTTTGAATTTCGACCAAAGATTGGTTCCAATCGACAGTATACATAATTTAGACTGTTGTATAAACTGTTAGTAACATACGAAAGTGATTATTCCACCTGAAAAATGCTTTGGAAATCAGCTTGAATTTTCGTCTTTTATCGTGGGTATCCTAAGCTGGTAGACTACTTTTACTCACCATTCCAACTGTACCAATATCCGTTCAATACAAGCGATTTAATAAATAAGAGAATTCGCAGTGCCATGATACGAACAATTCCAGAAGGACATTACATAAATTCAGATGTTCACAAAATAAAAGCACCGCAGAATAACCTATGAACCTTAAATGAAGCAGATAACTATAGGTCCAAATTCCTTGCTCCCCGAGACGAGTTGCTCATTTATTTTTACACCTGTGATGAAGCATCTTGAGTTGACGCTCGGTTCAGTTCATAAAAACATTCATACT